AGCCACGAAGTGGTAGGCCACGTAAACTGACGGAGCGGGGTCAGCGGATGCTGAAGCGCATAGTGCGAAGAGGTCGCCAACTTTCTGCAGAGTCAATCACTACAGACCTCCAAACTTCATGTGGCCTTCAGATTAGCTCAAGAACAGTGCGCAGAGAGCTTCATGGAATGGGTTTCCATGGTCGAGCAGCTGCATCCAAGCCATACATCACCAAGTGCAATGCAAAGCGTCGGATGCGGTGGTGTAAAGCACGCCGCCACTGGACTCTAGAGCAGTGGAGACGCGTTCTCTGGAGTGACGAATCGCGCTTCTCCATCTGGCAATCTGATGGACGGGTCTGGGTTTGGCGGTTGCCAGGAGAACGGTACTTGTCTGACTGCATTGTGCCAAGTGTAAAGTTTGGTGGAGGGGGGATTATGGTGTGGGGTTGTTTTTCAGGAGCTGGGCTTGGCCCCTTAGTTCCAGTGAAAGGAACTCTGAATGCTTCAGCATACCAAGACATTTTGGACAATTCCATGCTCCCAACTTTGTGGGAACAGTTTGGAGCTGGCCCCTTCCTCTTCCAACATGACTGTGCACCAGTGCACAAAGCAAGGTCCATAAAGACATGGATGACAGAGTCTGGTGTGGATGAACTTGACTGGCCTGCACAGAGTCCTGACCTCAACCCGATAGAACACCTTTGGGATTAATTAGAGCGGAGACTGAGAGCCAGGCCTTCTCGTCCAACATCAGTGTGCGACCTCACAAATGCGCTTCTGGAAGAATGGTCAAAAATTCCCATAAACACACTCCTAAACCTTGTGGACAGCCTTCCCAGAAGAGTTGAAGCTGTTCTAGCTGCAAAGGGTGGACCGACGTCATATTGAACCCTATGGATTAGGAACGGGATGTCACTTAAGCTCATATGTGAGTCAAGGCAGGTGAGCAAATACTTTTGGCAATATAGTGTATATATATATATTAGGGTCTAGTGGCCTTTATTGTTTTATTTTTTTAAGTAGGCAGACAAGAAATCAGGAATAGAGAGAGGGGTAAGACATGCAGCAAAGGTGAACAAGCCGAGACAGGACCAAAGCCTCAGTACATGGATCGCACTCCTGCACCACCACCGTACCCGTGCTACATACATTTCTCATTCCACATCCATGTTTGTTTCACATTTTCCTGCTATTAAACATGTACCAAAAATAAATGTATTTTATTAATCATTTTTAATTTAAATACATTCCAACAATATATGCAATAATCTTTAGATTATAATGGTCTATCACTTTGATGTCTGACAGGAGCAAGTTTTCATTGAGATTTATCAGTATCTATATCTGTCTGTCATGCAGTTGTGCTGCAGATGGTCAACATTAGCTTTCCACTGAAAGTTCAGAGCTAATCTAAAATGTTTACGGCAACAAATAACTGCACAGCTTTTAAAATGCTGTTCTCCATGTCAGTTTCCATTACCCAGTGAGGGTTTGTGTTGCAGACAGGACAGGTTGATGGGAGGAACCAGTTTTTAGCTAAGTAATGGAGCCACTTCCCTCCAGCAGGTCAGAGGATAGAGGTCAGGGTGAGGGGGTTGAACTCATATAATTTGAACCCTTTAAAAGTTTTAAAGAGCAGCTTTACTTTCAGCTCAGGAGGATGACGTCTCCTGTTGCAGGGCAAAAAAAAAAAGTGCCCCTCTCAATCTTTTTTTTTTAAGATGAAAAAAAAGAAGGTTGGCCTGACCTAGAATGAAAAACTATGGGCGGAAAAAGCAGAGCAAACGGAAAACTGGGGTTCTCCCTTTTAAAGGCATGGAACTGCGTTTACTGCCTAATGTGTTTTTTCCACAAGGGAAAATTTCCACGGTCAGCTCTCCCTGACAATGCTGCTCCAGCACAAACCAGAACAACAAACTTTAAGTCAGCTGTGACACAGACCGCCTGCGTAAGACGTGAAACAGTGTCCAGAGGAGGAGGCCTACCAGCGCTCACCAGGGAGCGGGTTTGTCCAGGGCGGACGGTGGAACATCTGTGTTATTTTTCTTTTCTGTTTCTTTTCTGTTTATTGTCTTCTGTGCAAAAGAAGAAGGGTGGAGAAGAGAGTCTTTTCCAACTTGACTTAAAAATAATAAAACAAATATCTGATGAAAGAAAGTTGCTCTAATCATATCCAATGCTGCGGTCAGCCAACAATTATCTCATCCCAGGGTGAAGTTAATTTCCTTCTGTTAAAATAACTGCTCCGTTTTGGATAAGGACGGCGCAACAGGACAAAAAATGTCCACAATGGGAGCGTGATCTTACGTGGAAACAGTTTCCGCTTTGATCTCTTCGTCAACCATCCAACTGATGAAGGAGCTCATCCTGCTACACTTGTACATCTGAAATAGTCTTCTACAGAGCGACAATCTTGATTTATACAGCAAACCAAAACCAATGGGAACATCTCCAAGCCAAGAGTGGAGTTGTTAATGGCTGCTTCCATAAGAGCATCAATAAACAAATATATCTAAAAATATGCAATTGTTTTAATAGCAATAAGTCCTTTTGGAGGTCCGACGTTCTGCGTTTTAATTCCTACCAAGAATATTTCTTATGTTCTCTCCAGGTATTCCACATTCATCCCAAGGTCCAAAACGATGCATTTTAGCTTGTTTGCTGCAGTACAAAGCTGTTGAATATACCTCCCCACAGGTGCTTCTTAAAAGCTGCACTCATTTGGCATAAATATGCAGGTGGGAACTTTGTCTATGACTGGGACTCATATTTTGAAGTAACAAATCAAGTCGACTTTGAGTTGCACTGTTGGGTTTTCATCAGTCTGACAGTAAAACCCTAAAATCATCTGTGTGGTAACAGTTTGGTAGCCGAGAGAGCATGAGTGATCTAAAAACACAGAGAGAAGAGTGGGACTGGTCTTGTACTGCAAATCTAATTCAATAAAACCCTAATCTGTCAAAAATATGATAAACTCTGGAATAAGTAATAGAACTGAGTGATGCCTCTGGGAGCATATCATATTCTGATTACTTTAAGACATTAGTTTGATGGGAAATTGGTAGTTTTACAAGAAATACTGATATTATCAGGGCTTTCCTCATTACATAATTATTTTTTTTTGTAAATTTACCCAACTCAACACAGTTTCAGTGACGCATAATGATAATATATATATTTTTTTATTTAAAAGAAATACATTAAATATAAAAGTGGTGATTGAAGGTGCAAAGCAGAAAGGTATTACTGTATTAGCCAACTGGGAAACTTGTTTTCTCTGGCAGTTTTGCCCAAAGTTGGGACTGAGAATCAAAATCACACATACCTGTTTATTATAGTTTTACTATAATTTTATCATAAAGGCAAGAAGTATAAAGTTTATTATACAAACTGATCTTATAAATTTTTTTAAGAATTACTTTGTGTGACAAGTTTACCGGTGTTACTCTAATATTTCCATTGAAGGCCTAAAGTAAAATTATATGCCTGCATGAAAAAGACAAAAAAAAACTTTGTTCTTTATAGAGTAAGGTTATACAAACCAATCATTTGTCCTTTTTGAGTCTATACAGAATTACAGCACCAAGTCCGATTGGATATACTGTACATAAACAGATGTGTACGCCATCATCTGGCAGTACTGTGGAACTACAAGAGAAAAGCCGATAATGAGGGCAGATGTTTAATAAAGCCTGATACTCCTGCCCATAATGACTGTATTCCCAGTGCTATTATCAATGTTCGTACTAAATCATTGTTTTGCAGTTTTTTTAGCATGGATCTTGAACTTCTCTTTTTTATTTCACAGCTTTGCTTGGAAGTAGCTAGCTTTCTCAGCCACATTGCTTCCTTGTTTACCCACTCCGCACATACGCACAAAAAAACCCAATAATATGCCAGTAGGGTGCAGTAATATGTCAGAAGGTATTCGTATTCGAATTAGACTTGGCCGAAAGGTGCTAATCAGAGGAGAACAGCTGATATAAATGCATTTATAAATGTGGAGTAAACCATGGCAAGTGTCATATGAATATTGGAAAAATGGAGGAAATATTGTAGCTTTTTGCAAAGGAAGAGTGTCTGGCAGGTATTCAAAATCAAATCAGAGACCTTCTATTTTCCTCTTGCCTCAGTGATTAGAAGCAAAAAGACAGCTTCCAGCCTCAGAAAAATGTCACTTAAAAATCGTGACCATTAAGAAAATATTTGCTGCTACCTACAAACATTAGTACAGACAAGAAACTATGACCAGGATTTAAGAAATATAAATATTTGATACATTTAAAACATCTGAAAAAAAGTTTTCATCTAGAAATAGGTAAAAACTTCTTAAATTAAGTGTATAAACCCTTGATTTAGATAGGTAAATTAGATAGTTTGCCAATGGAATGAGTATTTTTACTCTTAAAATAAGATAATTAAATAATATGCACTTGAAATAAGTCATTGCAATTGTGTTTTCTTATTTTAAATCTAAATTGTCTTGTTCCATTGGCAAAATGTCTGTTTTATCTCCTCAATTCAAGAACAAATGCACTTATTTTAAGAAAAAATTACTTATCTAGATTTAGATTTAAAAAAAAATCAATAATCAAATTATTTCAACTAGAAATAAAAATCAGGGAAATTAACTGTGACTTAAGGTAGAAGTTACTGTAAAACTCCTTCATTTGGCTTTTTTATGTGACTAAACTGCTCAATCTTCCATCACTGGTTTCACTGAGCTGAAACCAATTGTGTTCAGCAGCGGTTAAGCTGTCAGATAAATTATGCTCACTCCAAAAATAAGAGTGAACATAGAGAGATGCATGAAAAAAACAAACCTTTTGTTTGTAAGAGATGTTCTGTCCAACACTATATGGAAAACATTAGCCATATAAGCAGATTTTTTACCAAAACAGACATAAATTTGATTGCTTTTTCCACTTCACTCCATGTTGATGTTCCTCCAACATCAGGCTGAGCTGTAACCCTTTAATTTTGAGCAAATAATAGATGATTTCAATAGTTTTTGCCTACCCCAGCACAATGAGCTCCCCGTACTTCACTGGCACTTTGGTGGACGAGGTGGTGGAGATGTTTTCCTGCTCCGGGGAATACATTGGGCCCTGCTGACTGAGGCTTGCAGGGGGAGGTCGGATAAGATCCAACAGGGTGAGGCAGGGAGGGATAAGAAGGAAAAGGGGGAGCTACTGATCAACTAGAGAAAGAGGGGGAGAGGAGGAGATGGAAGGGGAGAGGGGTCAGCTGAGCCTCAGCTCCAGCCTTTCATGCTCCATGTGTTCACCTGTCGCAGCACTGCTCCTCCTGCCCTGCAGAGGGAAAACATACAAACAAGGGTGAGATTTTTTATTTATCTATAACTTTTTATGCTTGTCAATAAAAGAGAAAAGGATTTAAATTGGCAAACATGTTCTTTATTTTCCATCTAAGACAACAGCAGGATATCCAGCTGACTGCTGCTTGATCTACAGCGATGCTAACGGCCCAATATTTAAAAACAATGCAATGTTTCACTTTTATAATTAAAAGTGCAAGGCTAGTCAGTCTAAAAGTGGCCTGGGGAAGTTTTGATGGGTAGTGCGCAGACTTTAAGCTGGTGCGTTAAGATTCACGTATGGAAAATAGACTCAACCTGGTAGAATATGAGGCATTTAAAGGCTCCAAAGCTCATCTTACATAAAAAAAAAGAAATCAAATACGAAAAAAATTAGCTAGGTTAAACTACAGTTAAACACTTTAATAGTAGGAATGCATACTAGAAGTAAACATACGATGCTTAATATTAGTAGATAAAAATATAAAAATGTAAAAAACATAAACGTGCTACATAAATAATTAAAAACTGTTAAAGTCATTCTGCTTTGGGTTTATACCCAGATAATAAGTAATAACAGAAATTTCGCCAATTAAGGAAAATTGATAGCATTTTTAAAGTTTTAATAAAGGGCTGCTTTTGGCTCACGTCTGCTGATTAAACAAAAACAGCTCTGTTGCTAATAGTTCTTCACTAAACTACTAGTGTCAAACATAAGCTAACATTTATACCAGTTCAAGTATGCCTCTTCATATGCATTTTGCACACACTGTTACAGCGACAAGGATAAATCCATGGAACATGCAGCAGCCGTTTTAGAGACACCCTTTTCGTAAACAGAAGACTTAATCACTTATCGAATATGATTTAATTGAAATTATTAATGCATATTTTCTGCTGTTGTTTTTCAGTCATCCGCTGATCTATTCATGCAAAACTTTTGCAGGAAATCAAAGGAAAGATAAACGAGGGCATGACAAACGAAAATGCGATGAATCTCAGCCTGCAACTCTCTGAAGCAGATCAACATGGGTTTCATTATTACATGAGAAATTTCTGCTACATCCCTCCTCCCTCCAACATTCACTCGAAAGAAAGATAACGAGACAGATTTCAATCTTTCCACACAGCCACATCATGGCTTCAATTGAAAGCAGCCTGCAACAGGCAAAGCACAATATTTCTCCTACGATTCCCAGAGTGCCCATCTGCTGGGAGTATCCACCACCACAAATGCATGAGCGTAGGACGTAAAGTGTTTTTATGATGAGCGAGGACGGGCAGGGGCCGGAAGAGCGATGCAGTCCCACCAGACTGAGTGGGAGAAGTTCAAGTAGAGGCCCTTCAAGTAAATTTATCAGCCATCTGAAGTCCAGAATCAATCTGGATGGACTAATTATCTGAGTAATTGATATGCATTAAAAGAGCACAACAACATTTCAGGGAAAGCTAAGATATTCCCACCAGGATCACCGTGATGCTGAGAGACATGCTATGATCAAATAATACTGTCTAAAAATAAAATAAAACCCTTTAGATTTAGTTCACGTTTGGATTTCTGTATAAAATCGTTAATGTTCAAGCATATCAAACACATGTAGATCATCCTAGTTAAATAAAATATAAAAGGCAATTTTTAACATAATTTTGGAATGAACCTTCAATCACAGAACAGTCGTCCTTTATTCTTGCATCAGTGGAGAAAATTACTCAAAATCCACACAATCAAATTAAAATCAATACAACCATTAAAAGAATAATAACTATTAAACAAATGTTTAAACACTATGCACTCTCCTGGTATAAGTAGCAGGAAATGTACGTAATCAAAACAAACAACTCACAAGTTAATTGTTATTGGACCATGCAGTGCGTCTCTTTTTAGCTCAATGGATGTTAGCAAGTCAATTAAACAAAAACAGGAGGAATGAAATTTGCTATGTCTTAAAAAATGTTGCAGAGTTAATGTCTAGAAAAAGGCTGTCCAACAAGTTTGCAAAAAAAAAAGGCTAAAATAAAATAACACTTTCTGTTATTTGGGACAAATTGCTTTCTGAAGACATTTTAAGCCTGTAAGATCTAAGAACGCTCTTCAGTGTTGAATGTAGGATTAACACCATCTGAGTGGCAGACAGGGGTTGTGGTCCCACATCTTTGTGATAGTGTGATCCAGATAACAAAACTTCTCAGCCATCCTGGAAAAGCTTACTCTGAGGTTATGGAGTGCATGATGGGAGGTGCAACAGATCAGATCTTAATCCTTGCAGCGCCACTGTTTCCCTAAAGGTATTTTTTCTGAGAGTCATTTATATAGTAAAATGGTAAATGGCCTGTATTTATATAGCGCTTTTTCCATTTCCGGGGACTTTACCAAAGCACTTTCCACCACATTCAGTCATTCACCCTTTCACACACACACACACTGATAGTAGAAAACTATATTGTAGCCTGGCTACTCTGGGGCTCGCTGACAGTACACTGATGCCGCCTGTCCCTTTGACCAACATCAGTAGGCATTGCAGGTCAAGTGTCTTGCCAGGGCTTGAACGGACAACCCTCTGGTTGCAGGCAAACTCCTTTAGCTGAAGCCACTGTTGCCCCTTTAAAGGCTATTCAAAACTTCTATGCCCAAAGAAAGAGCTGTACCGACATTCTTCACACAAGGTCCAAGAAATGACCATCTTTGCAGCTCACAACTGATGATGTTCTGTTTGCTTCTTTGACCTTCCTTCTTGATCTTAGGTCATTGTTCCTGACCTGGAAAAGATAGACTCCCCCCTCTAGGCTTGAGAGTTGGTCTCTGCCTCAACAGAAAGTGTTTAGATATCATGTTAACAAGTGATGGTAACGTTGGTGTAGGGGTTGTCTGCAGTAATGTGAGGGATGCTTACTGTAGCTCAGATCTAGTGGAAAAATAAGAATTGAGCCAAAGAGCAGAGCTCTGAATTTACAATTCCTACAAACAACCAACCCTCATTGATGGGGATGTGTCATAGTTATGGTTCTGTTTAGTTTGGTCTTGGACTTATGGACTTTTTCTGTTTTTCTGTCACTATTCAGCCACCAGTAGTTATCACAGCAGCTCAGTCTGCCTGCAGCCACCACCCCACTTTAGATTATCTCCCCCTGTTCCCACTAATTAGTACTCAGCTCACCTGTTCACCAGCCTACTTATACCTGCCTCTGTCTACTCATCTCCGTCAGAACGTCACACTGCTAAGGTCGCCTGTGTCTGAATGCTGCACTTATGGTGGTTTCCTTCACTACTGGATCCTATGTGCACTGCCAGCTGAACTCTTCTAGTTGAGGTTGCCTTTGTCTCCATGCTCCAGTGCTACTTGTTCCTCAGTGAGTCTCAGCTGCTTACTTGCCTGTTCTGGTGGTTCTCCGTCCACACAGCCTATTGGATCTGTAAACATCTACATCTCCTGGTTCTCTGCTCACCTCTGCAAACCAGCACTTTCAACCAGAATTCCTCTGCCAAGACAGTAACTGTTGCCTGCTTCATTTGCCATTATTCACCCCTTCAATAAACTCTTCAAACGTAACTCTGTGTCTGGCTGAATATCCGGTTCACCTACGGGAAATTGTGACAGGATGTGATGATAAGTGAGAGAAACAGATCCAAGACACAAGCTGCCCGAATGAGCTAGTTCCAGAGTGTGGCTGGACTCTATCATCCAATGGGAGCTTAAGGTGAAGCAGCTAGTCTGCATCAAAAGAGGTCAGTTAAGGTGGTTTTGGCAATTGATCGGGATTATCCTGAAATGCCTCCCATTAGAGGTCTCTAATTGTACAGAGATGCAGAGTTCACTTGTAAGACTACATCCTCCAGAATGAGTAGGCAAATGTCACTGGGGATAGAAATATTTGGGCTTTCTAGATGTTTTAGCTCAGGGGTCTCAAACTGGTTCCATAAAGGGCCGTGTGGCTGCAGGTTTTCTTTCCAACCAAGCAATAGCACACCAGACTCCATCTCTTGTTAAGACTGGACTCACTTGATGAAATGACTGGAGTCATCTTCTATCTATTGGGATTGGGTGGCTGTAAAGATGGATGCAGGAGCTGCCTTAATTTCTGTGTCGTTAAAATGAGAAAATATCACATATAAAACTCTAGCTGCTAATTAAAACACATAAACTACAAAAAAATTGCAGATTTCTCCCTTAAAAAGAGAAAGAAATTAATAAAATGCAATAAAACGTAAAGTGAAAATAAGCAGTTTGTAAAACTAAATCAAACCAAAGTTATTTTTTATATATACAATTATTTAAACAAATAAAACCTGAGCAAACAGCAAAACTACAGGCCCCATTTTTTATTTTTATTTTTTTGATAAATACGTCTTTTTATGTTGTTTTTTTTTTTCTGTAGTGCAGAATTTTTTTTTTGTATTTTTTTTTTTTATCTGTTTTATATTGTGTTCTTCACTCACATCAGTAAACGGACAGAATTCACTCCATACAGCTGCTTTTTATCATATTCTTCAAATTTGTTAATCTTCCAATGGAAAATAGAAGAACAAAAAAATAAAATGTTGACAATTCAGTCACATTTTTTAGGTTTTAAACACCATTCATTCTAATTTATTGGTTAGATGATAAATATTATTAATATTGTCCTGATGATATATGATAATTCTTATCATAATGAGAAATTTATCACAATGATGATAAATGATATGATTAAAGCCACCTTCTAGTTTTGACATGTTACCTATTCAGGACATTTTCTGATATACCAACCTTCTGAGGACCAACCTGCCTTCTGGAGGCCAAAGTCTAGTCCTGTTGTGGCATACTGGTTTAGACGTATGCTGTAGGGTTGAGTGTTACAATAAATGTCAGCAACTAAAATGACTGCTGGCAATTGTGTGCGAGGTTGATCTGGTCATATTTTACTCTTAAATTTGAAATCAGGATCTGTCAATCCTACAATACCTCTTTAAGACTCTTGTGTCTCACCGCAGGTTGTGTGAAGCGGCAACACAGAGTT